CTTAGGCATCGAAGTGTAAACAATGGCAAATGGTGATTTTCATGTGGAAGAATGAACAACACTGTTGTAAGTGAACTCCACCTGTGGCAATGCAACATCCCATTGCTTCGGCATGTCTCTGCAAAAGCTCCTAACCATGTTTTTGAGGCTTCTATTGGTAACCTCAGATTGACCATCCGTCTACGGATGAGCGGTGCTACTACAATTCAAGTTTGTACCAAACATCCTCCACAAGGTTGTCCAAAAGTGGCTAAGGAATTTGGTGACATGGTCTAATGTACTAGATTTAGGAACACCATGTAACTGCACAACCCCCTTGAAAAACCGCTTGGCTATGTTGGAAGCGTCCGCAGTCATCTTGCAAGCAATAAAATGCGCCATCTTAGAAAACATGTCAACCACAAACAAAACAGAATCAACTCCTCGTGGTGATCGAGGGAGTCCCATAACAAAATCCATAGACAAGTCTTGCCAAATATCATCAGGGACAGAGAGAGGCATATAAAGACCAGTATTTTGGGACTACCCCTTAGATACCTGACAATTGTAGTATTTCCACACAATGGTGATGACATCTCACTTCAAGTGTGGCAAAAAATAACGCTCCTCCATACTGGCAATGGTTTTATCACGGCCCATATGGCCACTCAGTCCACCCATATGCAAGTCCCGGATCAGTTTCTCCCTTAAAGAAGAAGTAGGAATGCATAATCGATTGCCTTAAATAAATACCCCTCATTAACATGATAATTTGTCATTGGCTCATTGCGAATAAACTTAGCCCAAATTTCCTGAAAATCCTCATCAATCTCATATAATTCCTTCAGAAATTTGAAACCCATAACTTCTTGAGCCAAAGTAACAAGCAAAGAAGCTCGACGACTCAGTGCATCTGCTACACGGTTAAGAACTCCATATTTATGTTTAATAAAAAGTGGAAATTTATGCAGAAAAGTAGTCCACCTGACATGCATTTTGTTCACACTCTTCTGGCCTCAGGGCTTGGTGGTCAATGTAAAGTACAAACTTCCGTTGCACTAGATAATGTTCCCATTGTTTCATGGTTCGAACCACTACATAAAACTCCTGGTCATAAATGCTCCATTTTGGGCATACTTCACTGAGTTTTTCTAAGAAAAATTCAACTGGTCTACTCTCTTGAGATAAAACAGCTCCTACACCCACTCCACTCACATCACATTCGCCAACAGACCCAAGAACACCTTCTTCAAGAAGCTTTGCTACAACTCCAAAGACGTGGCCTCAGCTCCTTATTGTGAGTATTGGAGGCAGCTGAAAAGTATATGCGTCTTAAATCTCCTTAGCAACACAAGAGTTCGTTCTTTTCGTGCCGTAAGAGAAGAGGAAACCAAATCCATGATCGACAACATAACTAACCACTGCTCCTCATCGCCCTCCTCAGCATCATCATCGTTTAATTTAAGCGAAATGCTCGAGACGCTTATGAATGATGTGATTTGTAGAGTGGCTCTGGGGAGGAAGTACGATGGCGGGGAACGTGGGAGGACGTTTAAGAAGCTTGTTGGGGAGCTGGTGTTGGGGATGTCACGTATCCATATTGGAGACTATATTCCATGGCTTGCTTGGATCGCCCATCTCAATGGTTTGGATGCCAAGCTTGACGATCTAGCTAAACGATTTGATGAGTTTTTAAAAATAGTTGTTCAAGAGCATATGGATGAATTTGATGGTCTTACCAAGAATGAGGACCAAAAGGAT